GCTACTTCTTCATTATCGGAAGGCACTTCAACGATACCCGAAGGCCCCGCCTCGCCCTCAGAATCTGGTTCACCATCCGCAGCATTGGCCATCTCCTGAGTGATGCGCGAAGTGGATATAGCACTGATATCGAGCTCGAGGTACGTATTCCGGATCATCCACCGGCTTAGTTTAAAACCCCTCCTATACGAATCCACCATCAGATCATCGAAGCTCGGCGAAGCAATGTACTCATCGACAGCTTTCTTCTTGGCATATTCGATGCCTTGAGAAAAGATCTGCGTCCTCTCCCTGATGTCCTCCTAAAGGTACTCGACCTGATGTTGCAGATCCAGCCTCAAGTCCGCCATGTGCTTCACCACCACTCTCATGGCCTCGGCATCTCTCTGAGACCTCGCCTGCCTGATCCGCACAAAACGAGCAGCCTCCTCGGCCGCACGAGCATCCACTTCAGTAGCTCGCGAAGTCGTCTCAGCAGCGCGAAGAGCCTCTTCGGCAGCTCGCGCCAGCCTCGAGCTCCTCTCCACCTGGGCCGCCAAGGTGTGAATAGAAGAGTTCACCTACCAAAAAGAACCGAGTGATTAAAAGAACCAACAGAACGAAAACCAAAGAGCTCTAAAAAAGGGAAATCACTTACCACCATGGCATGGGTAACGGCACGACAGGCCACTTGGTGCAGAGGGAGATCGGTCCACGCCGCGACCTCCTCGGGGAAAATGGTCTCCTTACTCTTTTGAAGAGCATGAGTAGACGACAGCACACTCCTGAAATCTCCCGGGGCCCCCGAGCCTGAGGGCCCAGCTCGCGTATGAGCAGACCCAAAGTAAGCAGGAGCACCGGAGTAGGTGGGAGCCCCTATGTAAGTAGTCTCAGCATAAGGGGCCCCGCCAGCTCCTGCATAGGAGGAACCATCTCGGGCTCCCTAGGCAGATCTTCCGACGGATAATCCGGCACCTCAGGCTCCGCATCCCGGGGCAGCTCGGCACGAGTTTGCTTAGCAACCCGCTTCCCCCTCTTCATGCGTTGGAACAAGTGCCCGCCACGGGTCCCTCGAGAGTCCATCACACCTGCAAAAAGAAGTTCGGCATCAGTGAAAAGCAAGAGAGAGCAAGACAGAATCGCTAGGTGAAGAACCTACCCGAACTCAGGCCGGCCGCAATAAGCTTGGCCTCCTTCAAATACTGTTGACACTTCAACCCAAACCGCGCCCATTGCCGGAGGCCCTTCACCGTCTCTTTGTCAAGCGTGACACCGGAGTCGAGAGCGGCCATCCCCCACCCGGTCTGAAACGGCCACCCCAGCACACTTCGCACCCCGAAATAGTCCCGCTTCCACGCCGGGACCTTGTTGGGGAGTTCGTGTAAAAGTTTAAAGCCCGGACAAGGAGACAGGTAGTATGCCCGCCTACGCCCGGGAAGGGGACCCGCTTGCTTCTTAAGCATCAAGATGGAAGAAAAAACCTCCAAGTCTAAAGGAAAGCTCTCTTCGCAAAATAGAGAGATTGCCCCCACCAAATTTCGAATGGAGTTCGGGTGGAGCTGGCCGACCGTCACACCGAAGTGGTTCAGAACTTCGACAAGGAGGGGATGGAAAGGCAATCGCAGCCCTGCGGCGAGCTGCTCCCGGAATATCACGATCTAATCAGGACCGTGTTCCCAAGGAAAGCTACCCGAATGTATGAAATAAGCATACTCCCCGGGCAAGTTATAGTAGTTTATGAGGGATTGGAGTCCCTCAGGCGTCATGGTCGAAGGGTCAAACTTGTCTAACATCCGACCCCGAYGAGAGGTGGACGCCAAACTACCCGAGGTGCCTCGGCCTATGGGTTCAACCTCTTCCTCAAGCTCTACCTCGGTCTCGCTAGAACTATCGGGGGACGCAACTGTCTGAGCTATCCAAGCTAGACATCGGGGAGTAAAAGATGGATTCCAAGAAAGGTACTCACCCGGAAAGAGGTTGGAGTAGACCACAGGAGCTCGAACGAACTGAAAAAACCCGGGCGCGAACTGAAAAGCCTGGACGCAAGCTCGAGAGATACAGAAGTAACAGCGACTGGGGTCCCCTCCCCCCCCCCTCCGCTATTTATATCCACAGTGACCGAGAAGCGATGACTCAGATCAAAGCCAATCCGACGGCCCATAGTCATGCTGACCGCACGTCCTCTGAAACCAAGACGTGATTGGCGCACGTCTTCCTGAAACGGACAGCGCCGACGCACGTCTTTTCGAAACTGGCGGGATGCCAGCGCACGTCTCCTCACAATAAAGGCAGCAGCGACACGACTCTCGAATTTGAAAAAACGCCTGCTGTCACGTCTCCCAAGCGGCGCGCTTTTTGAAATTTCAAAATAAAGCGCGCGCTGTCACGTCTATCAACGTTCGGGCAGGAACCCTGACAACGCACCTCGCACCATCAGTCAAACAAAATTCAAAGTACGGGGCAAATCCACCTGCCACCTTGCAAACTCCCCGCGCCAAGGCAGGACCCTTAGCGCAGGGAGTGGGGGGCAATTGATGAAGGGAGATTTGGTCCAACCTCGCAATCACTCCACGTGGCAAAATCAAACAGCTCGGGCCAAACAGGGCACCCAAGGCACGGGCGTCAAAGGAACCAGCAGTCCAAGCTCCCTACTAGGAGCCCCGAGCTCCTTACAAAGAGTTCGAGCCTCACAAGGCAGTGACCCGAACTGGCCCACCTCATGGCAGTTCGGGACACTCCCCTATCCGAACTCAAGACTTCACCTCGCCTCGCCACTCCTACACTTCGCCTCCCAAACACCAGGCTGACCGAACGTACCACACCTGACACCGAGGGTGTCCGTATCCAAGGGCGGCGCACCTGATTGATTTGGGATCTGACGCTTGACAACCGCACTTCACACGGCCTCCTGCCACCGCCACCTGCCACCATCGTCACCAGTCGCAGAGACGGCTCCGACAAAGGGAGTAGTGGCGGTTCTGCCCAGCCAGAGGGGATGACATCCGAACTGGCAGGAGCTCAGAAATAATCATGCCCGATCTGGCAGAGCTTGGAAGTGAGTGCGCGAGGTGGTTATAAAAGGCTCCCGACCCCCCGAGAACAAGGTATGCAAACTCTGCGCTATCTGGTTTCATCTTGCCTTTGAAGGATTCTAACTTGAGCTTCGGAGCCTCCACACCGGGTCTCCCCCGGAGCGTTCTCACCCTCTTGGTTTCAGGTTCCCCGCAGCTCCGTTCAGAGGCCAGGTCATTGAAAACTGGGACCAGCCGGATTGCGCACCATCAGAACCTACCTTAGCCCTTAATCCATTATGTATTATTAGGCAGCCTCTTTGGCTCGATCAATGAATACCAACTTCCAGATATTGTCATTACCTCTTACTTCTCCCTCATAAGCTTCAACATTTCCACAAATCAACTCCTGTGGATGATGACAATCACACGAGAAATGGGGGATTCACCAACACATTTCCTGAGATATATGTGTGTATAACATATTCAGAGTGATGTATGCGTATTCTCGCTTTGTGGGCAGAGTATCATACAGTGAATCTGTTCTATTTTTCATGGATCCAGATGGGTGCCTTCAGTTATGCATTGGCTTTCGTTGAACTCCTTTATAGAAGTTCGTAGCTTCATCATATAAGGCCTTTCAGTTTTCAATTTTCTTTTGTCATCTATTCTATAAAGTGTTGTTCTGAAATTGACTTGCAACTGAACTAGCATTAGACTTGAACCAGGTAATGATCTAATTAAGTTAGAATCAAGTACTCTAATCAGCATGGATGTACTGCAAATTGGGCATAGTAGTTGCAGAAACACATCAGAATTTGAGTAGGGCAACTGCAATGATGGTACCATGAAGATAAAGAGTAATGTCAAATAAGAAACAGAAATATCTGATGCAATAATCTAAGGCAGCGTTATGTTTTCTCTGAAGAAAGACCACCTGTTGGAATACCGAGGCAACCAATAACCACCATATCGCATATGATCACAAACTTTATCAAATTTGTGTAGTTTTATCAGATAGATTTTGATCAAACGAACGGAAAAGGCTCAGCCTTGTATGATCTCTTACGGTCTCTTTGCTCATTAGACGATGGGCTACTACTAGGCTCCTCCTCAACTTCACTGTAAAGTCTCTTGGTGCCTACACCTGTTACTATTGATCCACCTCCATCAATGACACCAACCACTGGCAACTCCAATAATAGAGAAGCTTCATTTGGGCCTGATGGTTGTTGACCAGCTGCCAACCAAGAAGACATAGTGTCATCAACACATCTAGATCCATGATGAGATAGAGAAAAAGAAACCTACAAACTGTTATAATGAGATCCATTCAAAGGTGGCATCCAAACTGCTTGGCAAGGGACAGGAGATTCATCCGTCCAAGTTCCACTAGATTTCATAGTATGTGATGTTGGCTGGATCAAAGGAATGGATGAGGCGACTGCTGAAGATGAATGTGTTGGACTTGAAGTAACAGGTAAGTATTCAAGATTGGTTGAATTGTAATTGTGAACGAACCCTGGTACGTTGTGTAGATGCTGGGAACGTTCTAGCGAAAGAAACGTGTCCAGTCCTGGAGAAGAAAGCATGGTAGAGTTCATATCAGGTTCAGGTAGTTGAAATGGAGAGAATAGATCATTCTCTGATGAGGACGTGAGGAGATCAGCACCAGGTAGCAGGGCCGTCAGGCAGAGTTGGATACAATGCAATCGAGTCTGTTGGCATTGCGGTGAATTGAGAACCCACCAGATTTCCAAAGACTCCCCACTGAGACTCCGATGTAAGGTAATTGGGAACAAAGGAAGATGGAAGACTAGCTTGAGCTTGCATTTCCAAGGCAAACTGATGCAACTTGTTCCCTTGAAGAGGTAGAAATTAACTGGGCTTCAGGAGGAGGGAAAGGACGTTCCTGAGCATGGCCAATTTGATCAAATGGAGAAGAGAGTACAGTAGTAACAGTAGTTGTTGAGTTGTGAAACTCTCTAAATTGATCACCATCCTCCCCTCAATTTATAAGTAACAAATTAAACAATGCGCTTAATGTTGCACTAATTATCTCAAATTCCAATACTAATTGAAAAGGAGACAAGTTATAAAGATAATATGCTACATCACCTTGATAGAGATACGGTGCAGGTGTTGGAAGAAGCTCCATGGTCCTCAATTTAGGTTGTGTTTCATCGTTAGAAGGACAACTCGTGGGCATTGTTGTCTCATTCAGAGTCATTCGCCTATGTCCATGGAACTAATGTAATCCATGGAACAATTCATGAAAAATTTCTAATCCCATTTCTCTGCCTTCGTTTGACCGGCATATGAAATGGATCCCAAACTCCTTCACGACTGCTTGGAGGCTCAATAGTTCTACGGAAACTGTAACTTCATCACTGGCTTCCAAATGCCTCCTGAGCCGACCACCAAACGTACAATAGGCTAAGAACATCTCTTCGCCTCCTCTGTTTGATGGCATCCAGCCAACATAGAACTGCCCGTCAATGGCAGAAACATGTTGCACGCGTGTTGATTCCGGATAAATAGCACAAACGATCAAACCCTGTACCACCATATGCTCTGCCATTCTAACCACTATCGAAGGTCCTCTACTACTGCTACTACTATGATAACTGAACCACTTTGGAACCTTGTTGCTACCTGGAAGAAATGTGCTTATGTCTTCACCCCTCAACATTGCCTCAAGGAATCTATTTTGGAGAATGCTCTTCCAACTATGTTCTAATTTATAGCAGCCCAACAAGTCTATCTTCCATAACCGTAGATTTTCCAGGCCCTGAATTTCAATCAACTTCTCACAATTACGAAGATTCAAATTACTTAGCTTGGGTGCCCTTGAGAGATTTTGTAGTTTTTCCATGGATGTGCAACCATCTGCCCGCAGTGTCTCTAGATGCGAAGGAAGATTTGGGATTGTGCAAAGGTTCTTGCAATTTCTCACCACAAGGGTCCTTAGATGTGAAAAGTGACTCAAGGTATCTGGTAGTCTACAAAATTTTCCACAACTTAGATCCAGCTTTTCTCTCAAGTTGGTTAAGCACCCAAGATTTCCTAACATTACCAATGAATCACATCCTCCTGACTCCAAATGCCATAAACTTGCTGTAAGTTCTGGAAGTGATTCAAGACTCTTGCAATTTGTTACATCAAGTTGCCAAAGCTCAGAAAACCTACCGATGCTGTCTGGTATGCTTGGGAACAAGTTCCCACCTAAATGCAATACTCTCATCTTCTTCAAGCATCCGATTGAAGACGGAAGTCGTTTTATACCACAATTTACTGTATATAGCATCATTAAAGACTCCATGTCCCCCAACTCTTCTGGTAAATTTTCAAGTCTTGCACAGTCATCAAGAGCAAGAAATTCAAGAGCCTTCAACCGCCCAATTGAAGATGGTAGTTGTTTTATAACAGTTCTGCTTACATTAAGATGGATCAAAGATTTCATATCCCCCAATTCCTCTGGTATGTTTTCAAGTTCTGAACAACCTTCAAGATTAAGCTCTTCCAGGGACTTCAATAGTCCAATTGAAGATGGTAGTTGCTTTATGGCAGAACGTGCAAAAAGTTGCTTCGGACACTTCATGTTCCCTAATTCCTCTGGTAACTTACTGAGTTTAGAGCAACGAGAGAGACTCAAAAATACAAGAGACTTCAGTTTTCTAATGCTGCTTGGAAGATACCCAAGTTCAAAACAAGCACTAAGATCCAAATGAACAAGTTCCTTGAGACATCCAATGGATTCATGAAGGTCAACCAAACTTGAACAACCATGAAGAATCAATCTCTTAATATTAGGGAGCTTTGAGAAGTCAGGAGTTTTTATTAGAGACTTGGAATTACTAATATCAAGGATTTTCAACACTTTCAGTGTCTGTAAGAAAAAAAAAAAGAATAAATTAATCAAAAAAGGAAATCGGGTGTAAAAAACTAATAAATGATGCAATGAAAATGAAAACATAAGCTGTCCCTTACTTGCGTTCCTTCTTCCCAAACTCGTTTGAGATGGCTCCACTTCATATCAAGAGCAACAAGGTGCGACAAATGAAAATCCAATGGTATAGATTCCAAAGTGAAACCAAACCAATAAAGCCATCTTAGCTTTTTCGGCAGATACTTGTAGCTTCCATTGAGGTTTACACAGGCAAGCTTGAGTAGTCTAAGATCGGACATCCTCTTAAATGCTTTAGTACTTACTCGCAAAAATTCATTTGATTTTGGGGGCCCATATAGATATGATGAATCACTTAAATCAAGGTTAAGCCCTTCGATTTTGTTGGTTCCCTGCAACAAATAATATTGGATAAGTGATGCCAACAAGAGTAGATATCCAGAGGCAAAACATGCTCCCACAACAAAGATTAATGATCTGGACATTCAGATAAGAGTGAAGGTGGTGATCAGATGAGCTTGATGGGATCCTTTTAGACTTAAATCACATAAAAACTAAATGAAAACAAAAACACTCAGATTACAGAACACCCCCTTAGACTTCTTGAATAAATCACCGGAAAAAATTAGATTTCCTCTTATGAATGCATGTATGCCCCAATGCTTTTTACAAAATCTCAATAAAAAAACAAAAGAACCACTTTTGAAATTTTAACATTAATAATAGACAGAAATAGGTAAGATTTTATGCTTATGCTTTTTCTAAAGCAACAATAACAATAATATAGAATGTTTTTGTTTTTTAACTTTGAAAGTGGCAAACAATAGCACACCCAAATATATATTCAATTAAACTTAACACTTTAACAACAACAAAATAAATGGATTTAGCTCTTACCTTCTTTTTGGTCAATACATCAAGGGCATCATTAGGAAACCACAATCTACTTCGCTTTCCAACATTAGGAGATTCTTCACGAACAATTTCTCTTCCCATGTCTCGAAGTAAACTGTGCATTGTTAACTCATTCCTTCCACCCACTCTTAAAAGACACCTGGATGTGAGAAAACTGATGCCAAATTCTGGACAGAAGCCACAACCATCTAGTATTGTAGTCACATAGTCCTTATCCATTCCATCAAAGAAGCACGAAATGTCAAGAAATATTTGCTTCTGCATAGGATGGAGTGCATCAAAACTTATTCGGAGTTTATTCTGGATTTTGCCATCAGGAATTTTCTGTAGCTGTTTTAGAGCATCTTTCCATTGAAGAATGCTTTTGTTGAATAACAGAGAACCCCAAACTTCAATAGCTAAAGGAAGGCCTCCAAGATGATGTATAATATGATTTGTGAGTTGTACATAATTTTCTATTGGATGGTTTGCTTTGAAAGCATGCCAACTAAAGAGCTCAACAGATTGTTCCTCATTCAATTCTTCAGCCCTATATTTCTCATCATCATTTAGCTCATTTAGCAAATCCATATCTCTGGTTGTAATTATAGTTCTACTTCCTGCACCAAACCAAGAACGCTCTTCAACCAATGCCTTTATCTGTTCTGAATCATGTATATCATCGAGAACTACAAGAACCTTTTTGTTACAAAGTCTACGTTCGATCTTAGTGATTCCTTGAGAAACAATGTATATATGTTGTCCCTCTCTTTGCTCCATTAGAATATCAGAAAGAAGTTGTTTTTGTCGGTCGACAAGCTGGTTGCCAACAACTTCTCTACCAAATTCAAGAAAACATGCACCTTCAAATTTGTGAAATATTTGATTATAGACACACTTGGCAATAGTTGTTTTACCTATTCTCCCATTCCATATATCCCTACAATACGTACATCCTTTGATTGGAGACATAGCATTGAAATCACATCCTGTGTACGAGAATTTAATCCAACTGGATATTTAGTAACATGCAGCTGCTTTTCTGGACTCATAAACCTCGAAACCCATTCAACAATTTCTTGTATACACAGTGCCTCATGCCTACCAATCATGTTACAAAGAACTATATAAAGGTCAAACCAAACATATTAAGATTAATGAAGTTACAAAACATGAAGAATTAAAGTAATGAAATTTTGGTGATAGTTTTATTCGTTCCTATTAAAATATAAAAATATAATCATGTAAAATGATGAAAAAAAAGAGCAATTTTGACTTTGATACTAAAAAAATCTAACAAACTAAAAACCAATGGGAGGGTTTTGATTATTGGTCAATGCTCCTCCCGTTATTGTACTCTTCGTCCATCACCATGGATATTGCCAAAAGAATATTGAAATTCCTATTCCATTTTTCTTTACTCAATAACCAAAATCCACACCCCTAGGTAACTTGAGCACTTACCACAGCTAGGCTGTCAATGGACTGGATATGATATTAGTCTAATCTGATGATCTGGTTCAGTATGAGTCTATTATAGATGGACTAGGTCTAATAATGCAATCCCAAACATACTTTGGACCACTCTGGACTGGTCTAACTGGTTTCAATTTAGATTGGGACTAACCTAAATCTGGTCTGTTGACACCTTTACTCTTCTCATCTTATGTCAATGGATCAGATATTGGTTCAATCCGACCCAGTCCAATATAAATCCATTACAAAGGGACCAAGCCCAATCCAATCCCATAAATACATTGGACCATTAAGTCTGATTTGCTACCATTCAATTTGTCTTATTTATTGGTCTGTCTAATCCATTCAAATTTATTTTTATTTGAATGTGGCCGAACCCAAACCCGGTCAATTGACACCGTTAACCACAACTATATTTTGATATTTCCATTTTCAATTCTATATAAATTAATGCCTTCATCCCTTCTTTTCTCATTAATTAGAAACTCGTATGTTCAAATAGCTTAAATTTTATTTGTACTTTTATTGTTTTATTCTTTTAAATCTTCTCATTCATTATAGGTTGTTTCGTGATTAGTTTACCAACTGCATTTAGTTTTTCATTTAATCTTCCTTGAAATTTATATATCTACCTTCAATTAACTTTGATTATGACATTTTGTACATAGAATTTCAAACCCCTAGTCAAGGAAGTTGATCTAGGTGAAAAATATCATACATCCTAGTGTTCTAAATAGTCGTAATCGTTTATAATACAAAATAGAGTAATTGGGTAAATTACTAAAACCACCACTGGGTAATGTAACAATTATTGCAGCATCCCTCTTCACCTCTAGAAACCTCCCTTTATCTTTCAAATAAATATGCAAGCATACTCCTTTTATTTAAATACACGTAAAAGAGATGTTAAAATTACAACTATGCCCTTATGACCACAATAAGATAGAAAAGTATGCATTTTAACATACATATGAAATAACTAATTTAATAAAAATTAAAGTATCGTAAAATTATTAATTTAATAAAACTAATTATTATGTTATTAATAAAATATCAATGATAAATAATAAAATTAGTCAAAATATTCATTAAAATGAATAAATCAAGTAATAAAATCAAAAGAAATTGTCAGATAATTTATCACTAAAATTCTCAGAGGTAAGATCGGGTTAAAAAGATTTTGAGGGTAATATAATAAATCTTCATCTCAATAAAACTCCTCATGGGTAAAATTGAGATTTTAAAAATTTAAAGCATTATGCCAGCATTTTCCATTATTTTACATTAGGGAATTTAACTGAAGGAGTGTATTTGCATACTTATTTGAAAGTGCAAGGGTTAAAACAAATAGGAGGCTTAAATAATTTACACTATAAACTACTTTGAGGCTCGTGTCTTTAGTCTTTTAAAACCTTGCCTGTCTAAAGCTGTGTTGGGGGATTTCTAATAATCACTCCTGTGACTTATTGCATTTTAGAAGCCAAAAGCACCCTCAAATGTTGTTTGGTGATCAAGCACAAAATGCACTTTTTCACCCTCCAAAAAGCCACAAAAATGCATTTAGAAGATGAAAAAGCAAATATAAAAAAAAGGTTTGTAGTTTTTCATTTAAAATTAAGAAGTCATTTTATAAAGAAAAAGACCATTGAAAAGCACCTTACCAAACACTCAGAAAGTGCTTCTCTTATCAGCACCTATTCAAAATGTAATTGTTGTTTAGAAACCCGTTTAGGGAGGACATCCCCAAACGTTGAATAAAAGCAGATTGGAATCTTAAACCATATTTCATATGATCTATACACAATTACGTAAAAGAGAACACATGCAGGCATCAAAAAAAAAAAAAAAAAAGAGAACACAAGCAAGGTATTTCATATTTGAGTGAGGATTTTAGTATTACCCATTGGCAACTTTTGGTTAATCCCAACCAGACAAATTCGCAGCTTTTCTGAGGGCTGCCTCCCAACTTTCAACCTTCTTCATCTCCATGTTGGCTCGCTGTTTAACTTTGTCAAATTCTTCTCCAAAATCCCCGGTCTGATTGCGTACATCTGATGGATTAGCATCATAGAAAATAGGGAAAACCATCTGATCCATCCTTTCTCGGCATTCCATGATTTTGGCAAGCTCCTTCAAGCACCATGTTGAAGAGGCGTAGTTTCTGGAGAAGACGATTATTGCGATCCTTGATTGCTCAATTGATTTCAGTAGTGCTGGTTCAATCTCCTCTCCTCTTTTGAGCCTTCCGTCATCTCTGAAAGTTCGAATTGCTACACGATGTAAAGCTTCGTACAGGTGATCAGTGAAATTTTTACGGGTATCTTCACCCCTAAAATTCAAAAAGACATCATAATCCCACCGAGAGATGGAAGAAGAGGAAGACCCTTCGTGGATTACCATAGAACTAGAAGAGGCCATTGCACCTCGATGAAGGACAGGATGGATTATGGATGAAGAGCTTTAACTTGGAGGTCTTGCTTAATTTTTAAGGTACTTGTTACCATGAGGGGTGTGTATTGTCCTGTTAACAGCGCGATGACGAAAAGGACAAAGACAAATGGAAATCCAACTTCTTCTAAAGACAGGACTGGATGGGCTCCCCACTCGCGCCTCACAACCCATCTCAGCGTAAGTAAATTGGGAATATCGATCTTGCCATGTGGTAAGCACACGAGATGTGCTCCCAATGCACGAACAGGCTCAGTGTGGGGTGGATTCGAGCCGAGCCGAGCCGAATACTACTAGGCTCGAGATCGGCTTGCCAAGTTATTACTAGGTTTGAGCTCGAGTTAGAACATTGAGTTCGAACTCGGCTCGAGTCAATAAGCTCGAGCCAAGCTGAGGAAAACACTTTATAAAAAAAAAATTATATATAAAATATATTTTTATTTGATATTTAAAAAAGTAAGAATAATAATAATATTATTATTAATAATTTATTATTATATATAAAAATAGCTCGACTCGATTAATAAGCGAGCCTATAAACCAAGTTCGAGCTCAACTCGAAGCTCAGTTGGTTCGTGGACACCCCTAGGTGTGGAGCACACTCTGTGGAAAATACATCCAAACTTTCAAAAGGCAAGACTACCAAACAAAACACAAAGAAAGAACACAAGAAATATAGAAAAGTATGGATAGGCCCATTGCAGATTTTTTATTTTCACTGCATATCTAAAAACATTCAAAATGTCAAATACCCCTACTCTATCAATTGACAACTGCCCCAAATGTACTTTGTGCCTAAAAAACCACGTCATTCACCCAAATATATATGGCTTGGTGGAGGTGTACGAAATAGCTAGGCACTATTAATGGCTATGTATGTTGATAAAATAAATTTGGTTCCTAATGAGGACCAAAATTAATCACAAGAGCAAGGATGAAAAGTTGCTAGAATAGGGTGTCACGTCAGCTATTAAGAGAGACCACTCCAACCATAAGAGATGTCAGAAGCCTTGGGTGATCCTAGGGGTGTGAACTCTGATGATTAAGCCAATAATCGCCAAGGGAAAATAAAATGAATTGGAGAGCTTGCGAGGAGAATTGGAAAGCTCATGAGGAGAACTAGATAGCTATATGCGATGAGTTGAAGAGTTCATAGGGGGAGATAAAGAGCTCGTAGGGGGAGTCGGTGAGCTTGCGTAATGAGCTGAAGAGCTCATAGAGGAGCGTGAAAGCTCCATGTGATGAGCTGAAGAGCTCATAGGGGGAGCTTGAGAGCTCTATGTGATGAGTTGAAGATCTCATAGGGGGAGTTTGAGAACTCTATGCGTTGAGGTCGTACCTTGTTCATAGTAGCATACTACTACCATGTTTAGTTGTGTCCAAATGAATGGGGGACTCACCTATTTGTAGGAGAGGGGCTTGATCCAAGAACTAACACGTCTCTTACACATGGTCGGAGCACAGTCCTCTTGTCGTGCCCTTAGTTGACACATTGTGTGCACATGGTAGGCAGTGACTGCATGGAGTACACTGTCATTGATGTTTTAATCAGCTCAACCACGTGTTGCTTGTGCATGTTATGAGTTGGTGTTAGATCAGCTCGTCAGTACCCAGTCAACTCATAGCCCGTTAGGACCAAGTCAACTTGTAGCTTGTCACAACCAGGTCAGCTCGTAGCTCATCATGACTAGCTCAACTCATAGCTCGTCAGGACTAGATCAGCTCTTCAAGACCAAGTCAGCTCATAGTTCGTCACAATCAGGTCAACTCGTAGCTTGTCATGACCAAGTTAGCTCATAGCTCGTCAAGACCAGTTCAACTCATCAATTGATAACTTTTCCCTCTAGCATGCTACCACTTGGTGATTTCTAATTGGTGGTCGGTTTTGGCCATATCAGATGCCCCCCACTTCTGAGGATGAGGTAGCATCTAGATCATCTCGTCTAAAGGAAGTACAAGTTTGGTTACTTGTGTCTTCAGGCCGATAGTTTAGCTTTTCCTCATGTTTAGTTGAGTTAGCATAGTTTAGCCATTACCCCAAGTCAGTTTTATTGCTCCTCTGGCTTGGCAAGGGAGTTTGCTAGTTAAGGTGATGAAATGGGCTTTTTTGCTTAGATTCCCATAGACAGTTCCAATTGTTGAGGATCAAAATTGACCACAAGGGCAAGAATGAAAATTTGTTGGAGTAGGGTGCCACCTCGGCTCAGCACCTTGGCTACTAAGAGAGACCTACAACCATAAGAAATGTTAGAGGCCTCGGGTATCCAACAGGCATGAACTCTAATGGTTAAGTCAGTAATTTCCAAGGGAAAATAAAGTGAGATGGAGAGCTTGTGAGAAGAGTTGGAGGGCTTGTGAGAAGAACTACAGAGCTATGTGCAATGAGCTGAAGAGCTCGTAGAGGGAGCTGGTGAGCTCATAGGAAGAGCTTGAGAGCTCCATGTGATGAGCTGAAGAGCTCATAAGGGGAGCTTGAGAGCTCCATGTGTTGAGGTGTCTAGCGTGTCCTATTCATAGTAGCGTACTACCATGTTCAGTTGTATCCAAATGAATGGGGGACTCACTTATTTATGGGAGAGGGGTTTCATCAAAGAACCGACATGTCTCTCACACGTGGTCGGAGTTCAGTCCACTTGTTGTGCCCTTAGTTGACACGTTGTGTGCACGTGGTAGGCTATGGGCCTACATGGAATGAGCTGGCATTGATTTTCTAATTAGCTCAACCATGTGTTGCTTGTGCATGTTATGAGTTGGTATTAGATCAGATTGTTAGGACCAAGTCAGCTCGTTGCTCGTCAAGACCAAGTCAACTCATAGCTCGTTACAACAAACTCAGCTCATAGCTTGTCAAGACCAGGTCAACTCGTAGCTCACCACATCTAGGTCAACTATTAGCTCATCAGGACCAGGTCAGCTCGTAGTTCGTCAAGATCAGGTCAGCTCTTCAATTGACAACTTTGCCCCCAACATGCTACAACTTGGTGGTTTCTAATTGGTGGTTGGTTTTGGCCATATCAATTGAAAGAATTTACATTTGACAAGTGCCCGCACATCCCAACTAGACCTGTTCATGGGCTGGATCGGGCTGGCCTTGCCTCTTTATCAACAGAAAATGTGCATGCTCAAGCCTAAAACTGGCTCGACCATTGGGCCTAGACATTTAGCCCAAGCCAAACCCTTATATAAAGCCCGAAGCCTTACCTATACACAAAATGTCTTATTTTTAGTATATTTTTATAAACTAATATTATATTAATTTAGTGATAATCTAATAAATTAATAAAGTAATTTGTATTAACTAATAGTAAATTAATATTTATTAATAATTTAATAAACAAATATTATATATATTTGTTATATATAATATAAATGCTTTTTTATTATATGTAATAGTATCGGGCCAATCTTGGGCCTAGGTCAGGCTTATTTGAAAAAGCCTAAGCCCGGCCCAAAAAATGACCAGGCCTAGTATTTAAAACACGAGCCCGAGCCTATGGGCTTGAAGTTTTGTCCAAGCCTAAAAAATAACAAGCCAGGCTATTGGGCTACCCGACCCATGAACAAATCTAGTCCCAACTGTGTATTGGGAACATCAATTTCCTGTACTTGTCCTCTTAATAAATGGCTGGAATGTATTGTGGGACACTTGTGGGGTACAAATGTAAACTCGAATTAGAAAAACCTTATATTAGAATCTCTATCTTTGATTAAAACGAATAAGATAATACAGGTAGAGCCTAAACGTATGTATCCTCCTATAAATTTTAACTGTAGGATTGGTCGGGCATATTCATGATCTTCAATTAATTATTGTTTTGTTGGAATCCTTTTATCTCATATCACATGAGCTATAACCTAGATGGGAGGTGATAATGCCAAAACTGATCACAAGTTAGAAATCGCCAAGTGGCAGCATACTAGGGAGAAAAGTTATCAATTAACGAGCTACGAGTTGACCTGGTCCTGGTGGTCTATGAGCTAACCTGGTCTTGATGAGCTATGAGCTAACTTAGTCGTGACGAGGTACAAACTACAAGCTAACTTGGTCTTAACGAGCTATGAGTTGAGTTGATCCTGATGAGCTACGAGCTGACCTGGTCCTAAGGAGTTAATCTAACACTAACTCATAACATCCACAAGCAACACATGGTAAACTGAATAGAACATCAATGTCCCCCATTCGTTTGGACACAATTGAAGATGATAGTACACTACTACGAACAAGGCATGCTGGACACCTCAGCACATGGAGCCCTCTAGTTCCCTCTATGAGCTCTTCAACTCATCACATGGAGCTCACTAACTGCCCTTATGAACTCTTCAGCTCATCACATTGGAGCTTACCATCTCCCCTTACAAGCTTTCCATCTCACCCATATGAGCTCTCAAACTCTCCTTATGAGCTCACTAGCTCTCTTCACGAGCCCTTTAGCTCTCTATATGAGCTCTCACCTCATCTCACTAAACTCTCTAACTCACCTTACTTTCCCTTTGTGTTACTGACTTAACCATCGGAATCCACGCCCCTGGGATCAGCTAGGGCCTTTGACATCTCTTATGGTTGTAGGTTTCTCTTAGCAGATAAGGTGCTGTGTCGAGGTGACAGTCCATGACAAGGAAACACCCTACTCCAGCAACTTTCCATCCTTGCCCTTGTGGTCAATTTTGATCCCTCATCAGGAGGATGAATAAGCCAAAACTCAAAAAATGTGAACTAGTAATGAAATTTGAACATGTTGGTGTTTACATGTGATGTTCTAGTTTACTTTTAAACGCTAGTGTGTTGGCATTTTTCCTGAATTATCCATATGCAGAATGTACTTTGGTAGGCCCTTTTTCTCTAGAAGACACCAACTCATCAATTTCTCTAGATAAATTGGCCTATGTTTTGTTCTACAACTTGTCAATTCCAGGCTTAGAATTGGGAATTTGAGACCAATTCCAATCTCCCCCCAAAATCAAAACCAGTCCCTTCTATTCCTAATTTGTCTTACAATAATGGCTATACAAAAGTCATAAGTCATAACTGGG